TGCTCAACCCCAAGGGCGATGGGAGTCCGATCTGGTGGCCAGAGCCAGGTCTAACCTGGTTCAGAAACCAGAGAAGTCACAGAGAGCAAATTCCCTCTCCTGACACCAGAACCTACCACCTTTACACAAACCCATCACATTCCACCCTTCGCCTCTGCAAATTCCATATTTAGGCACAACTTCAGTTACATCAACATTACAACAGTATCATAACAGCATTGAACAAGAATACACATTTTACAAACAAACCACGTCCCTTCACCAGTCACAACAATTTAAGTTCCCCAAGGTCGTTCTGTTTTTCATCACTGTGGAGTCCACGTTTTGCCCGTTACCTCTCCCAATCACTATCCTTATCTCGAATACCAGGAGCTCACGTTGGGCGTCAAAAATTGCTGTCGTGGTTTAGGCTGCTCTGGCAACTAAACTTCTCTGAGCCGCTCTCTCACTCCTTCCCCAGTAAAGTGGAGAGGAGAAAAAAAATAATAAAACGGACTGAGGGACGAAACAAGAACAGAGAGGGAGCACCCACCAACCATGGTCCCGGGCAAAACAGACATGGCTCAGGAATAAAGCAAAACAATTTACTAATAGTTACTTGAAAGGATAACGAGAAACAAAACCAGTTACTGGAGAGGATAAAAAGAAACTAAGCCAGATCTTAAAAACAACACCTCTCCACCTTTCCTTTTCTTCCCGGCTTCACATCATCCCCCACCGGCGCAGGGGGACAGGGAATGGGGGAGTGCAGGTCAGATCACCCCATGTTGTTACTGCCGCTCCTTTCTTAAAGGAGGAAGAGTCCTTAGACTCTTTTTCCCTTGCTCCAGTGGATCCCCTACTCACAAGGAAAATCCACAAACTTCTCCAGCATTAGTACTACCAGCAGGGGCAGGATGCATTCCTTCCTCATCGGATCGCTCCAGTGCAGGCTTTACCACAGTCTCAGATTCTTAGGGAGCTGTTGCCACTCGCTCCGGCGTGGGCACTGACTCTAGATGCATCTTTACCTTGTTGTACGTCCCATCCTCCATGACCGTCCTCAGGCTCAGGCACCTC